AGGTCCTAAGGATAACCTAGAATAATAGATAAAAGGATTTATAGACCTATTTAATAAAAGGGTAATTATTATTATTTTCTTATTATCTTTAATACTTTAGCATCATAATATATATATAGTTATTACTATATATCTTATTTATTAGATATATACTGTTATATTAAAGGCTATGCTATTAATCTTTAACTTCTTTTTAAAATCTATAAAAAAGTCTTAAATATTAAGGCAAAGCACCCACTTTTTGACCACCTCTACCTTTTAACCACTATAACTTAAAGCTATTATAACCACTACTACTTTATTTAATTAACTATTAACTACTTCTTAAAGCCACAATAATACAGCTTTTCGCCTCACTAGGTATATTAGATAAGCCGGATTTAACTATATTATTTTTAGCCTCGCTAGCCTCAATCTAGGCTTACCGTATCTCTTTAATTATCACAAACTTTGTATTTAGATCTAGTTAAACAGCCTTCCTCTTCCTAACAGTAGCGTCGTTAACTTTAGCCTAGAGGAGCTGTATTTAGTGCTTAGCAATAGCTAACTTAAAGGCCTGCTCTTTAAAGCCTTTTTTTACTTTTCTAAAAAGCTAGCGTTAGGTAGTAATAGTTTAATCTAGCTAGGTAAATAACTATAATTAATTATTAAGCTCTCTCCTTTTCCTAGGCGTTAACTACTGTCTATTAGATATAATAGATACCCTTTTCTCTATATTCTAGGCATTCTAGCCACTATAGCTACCTTTTTTAGCCTTATTAAGTGGTGTTAATAGTGTTATTTTATCTAGCAGTAGATAGGAGCTTATTAGAGGCTTTACTATAGTAATAGACTATAACCTAGTGTATTTTTAGCTACTTCTTATATTCTCTATAGTTAGCCTAGTAGTGCAGGCCTTCTAATAACATAATATAAAGTTCCTCTTACTAATAATAGTTAAATTACTCTACTAGGTAAGGTATCTAAGCTCCTTATAATAGGCTGCCTTTATAAGACTGAAGACTACTTAATCAAGTAGCTAAAGGACATAGAAGGTATATAGCAGCAAGAATAATAGATAGACGTTATTAGTATAGTATAACTATATAAAATCTGTTGTTGTATAGCTTCTATGCCTATTAATAATAAGTAGTCTAGCCTAGTTAGGTTAAGAAGGCTTAGTCTAAGGGAGAAAGACTCTCTATAGCTATTTAACAGCAGTATTATTAGTAGTCTATTTAGTCTCTATTACTATAAATTCCTATCTATAATATAAATTAAGATAAAGAGGGAACTACTACTACTAGACCTTCTTGCCCTTATATATAACTAAGGGATAAAGAGTATTACTATTAGAAGATATACACTTAATAATAGATACCTAGGCTCTTAATCTAGTCTGCTTTTTCCTTACTAACTGCGTTTTAGCCCTGCCTAGCACTAGCCTATTATCTCTCTTACTCTTAAGGATACTAGTCTTATCTATATTACATCTATTAGATAGTTTAATAGTAGTAATATAAGGTAGAGTAAGATACTTAAACTAGGCCCTAATAACCTTAGTAGATACTCTATTAATACGCCGTAAATTAATAAATTAACTTCTCTAGACCTTAACAAAGGGGTTCCTTCAAATAAAGCCATCTACCTATCTCTTGCCTAGAGGCTAGGTATCCTCTATAGCTTAGAGGATGTAATAGGCAAAGTCCTTGAGTTGTTGATGGGTTGGTGGCAGCCTGAGGTCTGCTTAGGTAGTCACCTAAGTGGCTAGGCTGGCCCCCTGGCTTATAGAGAGCCTCTAGAGGTCTTTAAATACATCTTGCCGTCGTTAGTGGCCTTTTTTACGGCTTAGAAGCATTAATTATAGTACACCCCTTCGGCTAGCAGCAGCCTAAGTAGATAGGCCATTTGCAATATCCTTAAGTGCTAGAATAACCTCATTTTCGGTATACTGCTTCATTATATAATAAAGAGAGGATCTTAAAAAAAATAATGTAGATTGATAAAGAATAGAAATTGTTGTAATAGTTAGAAAATTAGGTATAGTTGTTAATAGAGTGGCTGGGCGGCATTTTTGGGTGGTTGAAATGCAGGGGTGGTTAAAAAGTAGGTGCTTTGCCTTAACTATAAGCTTAAACTACCTAACATAATAAAGATTTACCTAGTATTTTATATTATATTATTAGAACTAGCACCCTAAGAAATAATAAAAAAAGATCTTATTATTATTAATATAAATAGACCTAGGTGTATATTTAAATAAATAATAGACTATATATAGATAGAAGAATAGAACAGACATAAAGGACTATACTATCTTATTAAGCAAGAAGGATATAGTTATAAAAGTAACATATAGGAACTAGACTTTAACTTAACCTATATAGAAAAAGAACTTAATAGGTATTAAGAAGAAGTACACTTATAAGAAGAAGTATTAAGGCCTACTGGTAGAAACCTATAGATAAGCTATAAGAAAAAATAAAGAAACTATAACTACTATAGTAACCCTATAAGACAGACAGGCTATAAGACAAGAATCTATTTATTTACCCAGGAACGCTAGTTATTAACTAAGAACTCTTAACACCCTTAGTAGACATACTAGGAGCACTATAACTCCTAGATAGAACCTCTAATAACAGGCCTAGATCTATAAACTCCTTATCTAGACAATAAGAACCCTAGTTAATATTATTAGTAACACTAAGTAACTATAAGTTATACACTATTTAAGACTTATCGGAGTCTAGGGTAGAAATAATACTATCTTCCTTATCTAACTCCTATATACCTTACTAGAAAGTCTCCTATTAACGTTTCCTTATTTTCTTATAAATCTTATAAATCTATAATAAATAACTTATAGCCTTAGCTATTTATAACTATATCTCTATAAGCTTTAGATAAAGAGCTATAAGCTCTTTACTAGCCTTTTTCTTCTTTTTATCTTATTTCTTCTGTTAGGTATTTAGTCTTTAAACTATAAATAAAGTTAGTAAGTAAGATAACCCTAGGAATAACACACTTATAAGTAAACGCTACTAAGACACTATTATAAGGCTTCTTAGCCTTAATATATATCTAATAATAAGATAACCTCTTACCAAAACAATAAGACACTTTTATATAAAAACAATAGGTATAAGATATATTAGCTATAATAAAATAAGGCTTACTCAACTTTAGTAGTATAAGACGCTTAAAATTCTTAATAATAGTCTTCTTTAATTTTAACTATTCTATACGACCTAATATAGTGTTAGTATTATAAGTAAAATTAGGAAATACAATTAATAACTCCCTAACTTAGGAGACATAACCTACTTATATAGGTCTTAAGGATAAGACCTTTAGGGAGAAGACCTAATATTATAACCTAATAAGTTACAGGCTATGTTGCCCTACCTAACAGGCAGACGGTAGGTAGTAATAATATTTATATATATAAAACGTAAAGGTAAACAGGTAACTCCTCTAGAACAGAAGAGCTAGGGAAGGTTATATAATAATAAGAAGGACTAATAGATAATAAGTAGTCTATAGTTAAGGACTAATATACTAAGGGTAGTCTACCTTAGTAAGACTAATATCTAGATATTAGTCCTAAGAATAAAAAAAAAGATATAAGAATATTTATTCTATCTAGATAGATTACTTTCTATAGCTCTTTAGTAATTAACTTATAATATATTCTTTAAATATCTTTTAGTATCTAACCTTATTGATTTATTTAATAATGAGCTATATAAGCCACCTAACGATATCAAGAACCTAACTAATCACCAAGTGATCAATAAGACCAGCAAGAACAACAAACACTGTTAACCGAGTATCGACCTCTGCTTACTATTAGCGGAAACCCTACTGTCTGGAAACTGGCTGTAACAATGGTGATGGTGGTGATGGTTTGCGGAGGTAGGGGTTTTGCCCAAGTGGGGTATTTGAGTTAGCGTAGATAGTGATCTCTAGAAGAAACAACACAATCTACATAAGCAACACAAGAAGCTTCCTCAGATCAGAAGAAGGACTTATACTGATCAGAGGAACAAAAGTGCCTCAATCAAGAGAAGAAATACCCTCATCAAACAAGAAGTGTTCTACCGATCGGAGGAGTAATAACTCCTCATCGGTCTTGTGTTGTCACAGATCAAAGAAAATCATAGAAAGGCTCTAGTGTCGATCAAGAGAAGGTAAGTGTCAAGAAGAGAAATCAAAGTGTGTTGTTCTGCTAATCCGTCTATCTGCCGCGTCTTATATCCTTCTTTGGATCGGCCAAGTCCGGCCTAACCCGCCAATATCCAGGAACCTCTTACCCTACTGATCGCCCTGCTCTGTTCCAACATATAGTTAACCGTGTTAAGAACATGCAGGCTAGAGTACGGCGGAACAGCGGCCTGTTGACGAATGGCGAGCAGTGCCTGTGTCCTTGAGCCGAGCCGATAATGCACGTGAGCGGAACGGAACTATTAGTTATGACACTCACTGCCTGGGTGTGTCCCCTCGACATTGGATGTCCCTTATCGACAAAGGCATATACCAAGCTGGAGGCCAGCACGCCCGAATGACATGGTCGGATCTGGCAACTCTATCCTGGTTGAAGTACGTAGATACGGCCATAGTTCTTGCCGGGTCGCTCATTGATCACGAGTTCGTCGCACACATTATTTTGTAGCTCAGCCATGTTACTGTGTCATATTCAATGTATGGGCTCTGTGGTATTAAGCATAGTATGCTCTGATAAACAAACCATTGGCATCGACAATAACCCCCAACCCCTCGGGCCCGGCAAGCAAACGTGCGATGCGCCATGCTCGAGACATTCTGCCCTTGCCTGTGATTATATGCGATATGATGTAGTGGTTATGCGAAACACAGCCCGGATTCAAAACCCCGTAGCACAGTTGCATTGCTTAGAACGCGTATGTCTCCTTCTTTAGCACTTCCGTAAGCCGCGGAATGCTGAACTATTTGAGAATTAGGGGACCCATCCCGAATGCACCGAAGGGACAGGAACCTACGCTAATGTTTGCTGTTGTATCCCAAACTGTTACCTCCTTGGAAAACATCATGAAGGAGAGGTTCTCGTCGAGGTGCAGCTGTGAGTTATTCAACTGGGTCTGCGCAGACCGAACCTCTGACATCGACGAGACGCTCTCGTTGAGCCACATCTTGATGACGGCGTTGACGATTGGCATGTCCTGCCCGCCATAGTAGGGTCGCAGGTCGGCGCCGGGAACAGGAACGTGGTAGCTGGCATTGTAGAGGATTCCGGCCGGCAGCGGCTTGATCAGCGCATCAGCCAGGTACCTGGCAAACGTCTCGTTGGACGTGACATCCTTGGTGCCTATGGCCCAGAAGAAGGCCACCAAAGGCGCGGTGTTGTCCTTTGGCTGGGCGCTTGCGGGGCCGTGAGTGATGTCGTTGAGAAAGGTCTCTGTTGCGAGAGTTGACATGGCCACTGGCATGTCACTGAAGTTTTCTCCATCAGGCCCGATAACCGTCTCGGTATAGTTGCTGGGCGGGGGACCGATGAACGACGTCGGGATGCTGCTGTATAATTCGATAATGCTGTCGCGCCCGACGTAGGCCTGGTTCCCTACGCTGTTGTTGGCACCAAATACACTGTCAAAGACATAGTTTTGTGTGTACGCCAGCGGGAAGGCGCTGTCCCGGGGAGCATTCCAGGACTTCTGTCCGTGAACCAGCGTGAGGTACTGCAGGTACTCCGCGTGCGTTAGACCAGATCGGCGGCGGACGGCGGCAAGCTGTTTCGGTAGCGACTGAGTTTCAGCTGGAAGAACCGCCAGACCAAGGAGGAGGCTGAGAAACGAGAATTGAACCATGTCGATTACTTGGTAAGGGAGCGGAGAAAAACAACCAAGGTCCAGCTAGCCTTTTAGCTTGGCCCTATGAGTCTGCAGCAGGACGTTTACTCAATTATTATAGACGCAATCCTCTCGGAGCCGATCGTACCGCTTAGCGACAACTATCGGCATTCTCAGTTAAGCGAAGTCCGCGCGTGGCCAGTATTACGACGCTTTAATCCGAAGTTATCTATCGACCTGGGCCGGGAAGTGGAGAACCCACGCCGGAAAGTGGGGGAGTAATAAAGATAGACTAAACCTTGTTCCCTTTTTGTTTTCTTGAAAGTTAGTATAAGGATTTAGACAAGGAAGTGCGATTACTGCCCACCCTATCTCTAAGTCACGCCTTCTGTTAGGAAAGGTTATCTTGTTAAAGTGGGAGAAATGACCGCGTGTGACCGGGCGCAAGGTGGGGCAATTAGCTGCTAATACGCTAGGTATTTCTTAGATACATTTTGTTAAATATGGCAAAAGTTGTTGAAGCGCGTTAGCTGGCAGCGATAATCCTTGCGTTGATTGATTGTTCTGATTATGTGTAACTATCTCTGCTGCCCACGACCATCGCCGATCGGCCTATTAAGGGGCAGATGTTCGGAACATTATTTTCCCTTGTTTTGGGTGGCGAAATCCATCTAGAAAATAACTACCCAGGGGTGTTAGTCATCATCGCTGCGCTAAAAGCCCCTTGCTCACGCAAGGGGTGAAAAAATGGGGTTACCACGTAGAAAAAGGGGTTACCACCCCCCATCACAAATAGTATCACTTTTACGTAGGTTATATAGTATAGTTAACTTTCTATCTCTTAAAGTAATAACTATAATAACGTTATATAATAGTAAAAGTTAGATTAATTAATAGCCTTAAGTTAGGGCTATATAATAATACCTTTTTTTTATTTATATAATAACTATAAATTTATATTACTACTGTAATATAGCTATTACTTTTATTATTATCTACTATATGTTACTACTTCTTTTTTACTTATATAAATAAGGTTGTAAATAGGTAATTTTATAGTATAATCCCTATAGCCCTCTAGGTATCTATTTTATCCTTTATGCTATAATACCTTAACTTATATTATAAAGGGCCTTATAATAATAAAAGGCCTAGCGTTAGTGTTTTTAGTAGTAATAGTAATAATACTACTTTATTACCCTTATTATTACTACTAGGTATACTAATAGATTCTTTGCTTAAAATAACTAAATTAAAGTCCTTATCTATAGGATTATTAATATCTTTCAATACCTTTAGGTTAAAATATAGCCTAGCTGCCTCTATAGCTATATTTACTAATACTTAATTAACATTACCTTAACTAAGAGGCCTTACTATATACTTAAACTAGTTAAGTATATATTATAGTAGAGGGGTTAGATTAAGGTTTATTATAAATTTCTCCTTATTATTAGTATTCCTTAGATTATACTACTATAGATCTAAAGGATTAAATAGGATATATAGTTAACCTTCTTTAGTATAGTCTAGTTACTATTTAAAAGTTAGTTACTTTATCTATCTATCTACCTCTTAATACTTTAAAGCACTATATTACTACTAGACCTCTTTTTCTTACTAACAGGGTATCTTTTTTACTACTACCTATTAGCGCTATATTTCTACTTATATTACCTCTATAACTAACTTTTTATATACTTTCTTTAAAGCTATAATAGTAACACTAGTTATAAAGGGGTATTATAGTTTAATAGCTTACTAGCACTAGCTTTTTTATTACTATATCTTTAGTCTAGTATTTTAGTCTTTAATATATTACCTGTAGTACTTAAAGGTAAGAGATCTCTTATAAATTACCTACTTTACTACTTTAAAACCCCTTCTTAAAGGACTACTTTATATACTACTATATTTCTCTTTTATATAGTTAGTAATAAGGATTACCTTATTAAAGTAGTTATTATATAGTAAATAATAGATAAGATAAGATAGTATATCTTTATTACTTTATTATATCTTTTTTACTAGCTAGGCTAGTATAATATTATTATATATAGGCTATATACCTAACTTCTTAAAGCCTTTTATAATATAAGTAGAAGTAAAGGCTGCCTTAACTATAGTATTAAGAGTAGTAATAAAGTTACTTCTTATAAATATAGGATTAATTTTCTATATATACTTATAAAGCACTAACTAATAGGACTTCTTAAGGTACTAAAAGACGCCTATATCTATTAGTTAGAGAAAGTGTATTATATAAGGTAGGAAAAAGCTAAGATAATATTAATATTAATATAGTACTTTATAATCTTTATACTAATATACCTAGTAAAGCTATTAAGAAGAAATAAATAATATAGCTACTTTAATTTTTCTATAGTATCTTAATAGTATGTTACAGCTAGTTTCTAGACAGTAGAGTTTTTACTAATAGTAAGCAGAGGTTAATACTTAGTTAACAGTGTTTATTATTCTTTACTAGTCTTATTAATCACTTAGTAATTAGTTAGGTAGTTAAAGCCGTCTTAGTGCTTATATAGCTTCTTACTAATTAAATAACTAAGGTTAGATACTAAAAGATATTTAAAGAATATATTATAAGTTAAATACTAAAGAGCTATAGAAGTCTGTCCTTAAGTACGTCTAAGTCTATCCTATATATAAGTCCTATTTCTATTAGTATACCTTAAAGTAACACCTATCTATTAGTCCTTTACTATAAAGCGCTATTAACTAGTTAGTCTTTTACCTAGAGCGCTTATTATCTATTAGTCCTCTCTTATTACTATATAACTTATAATATAGTTCTTATGTTCTAGGGAGTTATCTATTTATTCCTATTCTCCTATATAAATACTATTATTACCTATTATCTGCCTGTTAGGTAGGGTAGTGTAGCTTATAACTTATTAGGTTATAATATATTAGTAGTATTAAAGGCTTTATTTACTTAGCTTACTATTAAGTAGATATAAATTATAAGTATTATAGCTATATATATTAACTTTAAAATAGTCCCTAAATAAGTAGCCTATATAGTAAGACTTTACTAACCTTAAGTATATCTTTATATTAAAGTGCTATATAAAGTCTATTTATATATATATATAGTAAGCTATATATTATAGTAAGCTATATATATCCTCCCTCTTTATATCTCTTTAACCTTTATACTAACTTTTCTTTATATATAAACATAGCCTCTTCTTCTAAAGAAAGTTATATTATCCTTACTATTTAGGCTCTTAAAAATAACCTAAAAATGTCTATATAAAGTACTACCTTTAACTTTAAGGTCCCTAAATTAACCTTTTATATATAACGCACTAGTATACTCCTATAAGCTATAACGTATTTAAAATTAATAAATATAACTATTTTAAAAAAAGAGCTAATTCTTAAATAGGTTATTAACTTAATTAATTAAGGGTTTCTTTTATAATAAGATAATATATAAGATATAGCTAACTAACTTCTTTTTAAATATAACGTAATATATATTAGACCTTAATAAGTAGAGAACTTTATATAATAATAACCTTAATTAAAATATAATTTTAACTATAAACTAACTGTTAGAGAGCCTTAGCTAAAGATTTTATAATTATATAAGGCTAGTTTAAATTTATATAGAATATAATTATAAAGTATAAAATATAAAATCATAATATTTATAATTTTAATAAAACTAGCTTCTTAATAAAAATAATATATATATATAGTAAGCTATATATTATAGTAAGCTATATACGTCCTCCCCCTTTATACCTCTTTAACCTTTATACTAACCTTTCTCTATATATAAATATAGCCTCTTCTTCTAAAGAAGGTCGTACTATCCTTACTATCTAGGCTCTTAAAAATAACCTAAAAATGTCTATATAAAGTGCTGTATCTAACTTTAAGGTCCCTAAATTAACGCTTTATACGTAACACACTAGTATACTCCTATAAGCTAAGACGTGTTTAAAATTAATAAAGATAACTATTTTAAAAGAAAAAGTAATTCTTAAATAGGTTATTAACCTAATTAATTAAGGGTTTCTTTTATAATAAGATAATATATAAGGTATAGCTAACTAACTCCTTTCTAAACGTAATATAATATATATTAGACCTTGATAGGTAGAGAACTTTATATAATAATAACCTTAATTAAAAATATAATTTTAATATTAAATTAACTATTAGTGAGCCTTAGCTAAGAATCTTATAATTATATAAACCTAGTTTATACTTATATAAGATATAATTATAAAGTATAAGATATAGGATTATAATATTTATAATTTTAATAAGACTAGCTTCTTAATAAGAATACTATTATATATAAAGGTTATTATAACCTCTAATTATAAAGAAAGGCCTTATATAAAGTAGCCTAGTAATTAAGAATAGGTTTTTATTATTTAGGGTGTATATATAAATAGCTAGGTAATACCTCTATATATTATTATAAAAAGTAAATATTACCTCTCCTCTTAGTACTAAAATAGCTAATTTCTAGCTATATAGTATATCTACCTAAGTCAAAATAAATAGACTATAAATAAGATTAGCCTAAATGAGCTAAGGCACTATAATTAGTATATAAAGTCCTATATAAAAAGTACTTATTATCTTTTAATCATAAATAGCTATAATAGCTATAGATTAACTAAATTTAATAACTACTATAAGGAAAAAAAGGATTATTACTTTAACGTATATATATAGTAAGTAGCCTATTATAGTAAGTAGCCTACCTTAAGAAAAGTAAAGTATTTCTAGGTAGGCTATATATAAAAATACTATTATATAATTAGTAAGAAGCACTACCTACCCCTCTTACCCTCTTCTAGTAGCTCTTAGAAAAGCTGTAGTGTAACTAAGAGGCTTAGACTACTAAATAAAAAGGAATAGGTACTAGAAAAAGAACTTAAAAATATATATAAAGAGGCCTATATCTAACGCTAATATACAAAGTTAGAATTACTATATAGTAGTAACTATACTTATAATAAAATAGTAAC